TTGGCTGTCTCAGTGGAAACAACCGTAAAGATACTTTGGCACAAAGAGACCATTTCATATAGAAAAAAACTTCACTGAGCTTAATGTGAAATCAGACAAACAAACAAGCCAGCCAATCGTGTTAAGGCTCAAAGTTTGTTTTGACTCTTTACATCATTACTTTAATGAAGAAAACGACACGTAGGCTTACCAAGCACCAGTAACTCCAGATGGGCCTCATTCTTCCCCTCCAGATCATCAGAAATGATAACTTTACAGAAGTACACTCCACTGTCGCCCCACTGCAGCTTCCCAATACGCAGGTCTGCTTCTGCACAGAGACAGGAAACAGGGTTAATATGTGCTGCAAGAGGTCAGATCCTGTTCACAAAGGAGGTCAGTGTTTTGTGAATTCAAATTGATTGACATTGAAAATAACCTGACTATAATGACTTGGTTTCTGACACTTCTGACATAAATTTATAACAGTCACCTGTGCAGATATGTATGAATACTATGGCTAAGTTTTGTTTGAAAATGTTTCAATATTAGCGCTGACTTGATCTCCGAGTTTCAGTTCTGATATCAAAATGAATACTTTTTAAAAGTAAGATAATGCTTTTATATATAACCCTTTCTGACATTTAACAAAATAAGCCAAATATTTCAAACAATAAAAGTCTGTACAGCGACACCTGTACAAACAAGATTACAAATCTGATCAGGTATTTGATGCCAGCTTTCTGTACTTGACACATTCAGTGCTCCCTGCTATGAACCATTTTTGGTTCAGGTTTTATATGCAGTCCTAATAAACACACCTGTAACTTGACACTTTACAACAATTGACCTTAGCTATCTAAGCATTTAACAGTTTTTATCATCCGCACAGACAAAACTAAATTCAGCGTTTACAAAAATACTATTATTATTGTGCCAGTGACTCCTTTTTTAGACTCTTTTGAATGACAGAAGGGGTTTGTTGAACATGATACGCTCCACTGACACATTTGGATAGAAGACAGGTGTTTTGTCTTGATAAGCTTTTACGAGGAGTCATACATGAATAGGAGTGAGAGCAGGGAGTTGTGATTGTGTGTCTGGTGCCTACTCTATTGTGAGACAAAGACAAAAGAGGTTTAGAGAGCAGGAAACCCTGATTCCTAAGGGCAGTGGTGAAACAGCTGCAGCAATGTTAGGATAAAAATGATGACGTTACTGTTTATGATGGCGATGTCTCTGCCTTTGTAGTGCTCAGCCAGCGTCATGGACGCTCCCTGCGCCGAGGCCACAATCCGAACTGTGCGGCTGCTGTCGGAGCACTCCAGGTGAGACGTGGCGCCCAGCTCAGAGGCATGGACGCCCAGACTCTGCGGCACAGTGAAGGACTCTCGTGTGCGGTCTCGACAGTAGGACTTGTACCACCACTGCACCACGGGGATCTGAGTTGAGGCCGTTTGGTACTGACACGGGAGGACCACGGACTGGAAGAGCATCGCAAACTGCTGCTCCTGCCGCACTGTGACATGCACCCCATCACACACTGGACAAAAACAAAACAAAGAAAGAAAATGTGAATAAGTAAAAATGAAAACGTTGCTCGCTGACTATTCAGAGAGCCATGCAAATGTTACTGTAAGAAAAAAAATGTGTACAGAAAACTTAAAACACCGCATATCAGCATGGAGAAGTACAGGTTTTGCCTTTTTCACCCACAGTAATCAAAATCATGGACCTCCACAGAGTCTATTCTCTCAGTTTACACCCCAAAGAGGAGGATCTCACCCAGTACGACCATTAGATGGGAAAAACACACAGGCTACATTGAATAATTTCTCTCACTATCGCGTAATGTGCAAATAATTTTGTTTTGATTAATCAATTAACACTAATAACTATAATGTCAGAAAATAGATTAATTTTCTGTCGATTGACTAATATATTAATCAACTTATCATCTCAGCTCAAGTTTGATTTAGTCAAACTACTGCAGGACTGTTGCTACATTAGTTATAGTTGAGTGTAATAAACTGACAAAAACAGTTTAAAGACAGGAAAACGATGCAGATGACATCCTGATGACAGAAGTAACAGCTGTGCCTCTTCTTTGTCTGTGTGGATGATTCACGAGTGTGGAGGACTACACCTGGGAGATATTACACTTCACATCAAGATAAGGTGTGTGGAGGGGGGCTCCTCTGTTGCTCAGTACCGGGGTCAGGAAGGTTAAATTCCACTGTGTGTGCAGGGGGGGGGGGGAGCTGCATGGGGGAGGCCTTTGGAGAGGCAGGGGGTTGTCATCACAGAGGGAGTAGATGGAGAAGTCGGACGCTCGTGGGTGCTTTCTGCTGGTCATGTTAAGTCTAGGCGGGGCAGGAACTCACTCTAAACATTTCCCAGAAGACAGGAAATCAAAAAAAAAGCAAGTTCACCAGCCTTGCATCTGTTGTTTTATTTCCAGGCCACCATTACAGCTACAACTAAGAGTTATTTTTAATCCATTTTAGGCAATTGCTTAAGCATTTAGTCTATGAAATGTTGGACAAAAGTGAAAAAAGGCGATCACAATTTCTCCCAGGTGAAATGTTCAGATGTTTTGTCCGATTAACGGTCCAAACCTCAAGGATTTTCAGTTTACAATCATATGAAACAGACAAAAGCAGCCAATCCTCACATGTGAGAAGCTGGAAAAATTACTGAAACTAATAATGGATTATCAAAATTGCTGCCAGTTGTTTCTCTGTCTGTTGACTACTTGATTAATTGACTAATCATTTCAGCTCAGGTTTCAATGTAGTGCGTTAATGATTCATGAAGTAAAACCAAAGTCCGGTCAGATGAGCATCATAAGCTTTCTTCTTTCCCCGATAAGAAACTATACTTTATCTGCACATTTCTAAGCACAGCGATGGTGGTGATGAAGCCAAATGATTTTTACAGGATAAGAGCACAAAAGGAGGGGTGACCCAGCTCCTAAATTCCTCCCACGAACGAGCCCTGGTCTTCCCTTTGTTTCTTTTTTTTATGGACCAGTCCATTGTTAGGGCTGTGCTGAAAATCCCACTTGAAGAGCTGAGAGGGGGGAGGAGGTCACAGGCTCCCGACCAATGGGAGTATCTGGCCTCGTCCAGCTGAGTGCGAACAGACCAATTAACTGCTAGAGATTTAAACCAAACCGTTACTCCATGAATGCAATCAGTAGGAGGTGAGATGAGGTTCGGATAAACAAGCAGAGAATCTGCTGACTGCATGGTGACTGTTAACTATTGTTTATAAGAAGTTTACATCAGGTGTGGCTAATGAACAGGTTACAGAGGCAGCAGACAGTCTCCCCAGCCACCTGTACACAGACTGAAGGTCTGTTGTTAAGATTACACTGCCTTTTAAAACAGTATGTGGCCACAAATGTATTCCAGGTCGAAGCTCTGCCGCTGGCCAATGCATGTTTCCTGAACACGTTCAGACTGTTTCCTCTCCGAAGCAGTCGCATTTCCTGCTTTTACTGTGCTGAACATTCCTTCACTTTGACTCATTATTAGCCTACAACAAAAAAGCCTGATAAAACTAAATATAGTGTCCATGTTTGATAAAGGATTTCACACTCAGAAACTTTGTGATAAGTGAAATGAGCATTTTTCCTATGGCAGGTACATTTTCAGCTCTTGACACCTGATGAGCACTTTGTGGTCTCCAAATGTAGTTTTAATGTTATAAATTATAGTATAGGTGTAGTACAGGGCTGCAACTAACATTTATTTTCATTTTTAATGTAATCTGCCTATTATATTTTGAGCAATCCATTCATTTTTTTGTCTGCAACATTTCAGAAAATTGTTTAAAATGCTGGTTATAACTTCCCACAGCCCAGAGTGGTGTTTAAACAACTTGCTTCATTGGATCAGCAGTCTAAAACTCAAAGATATTCAGTTTATATTTATAACTTACAAAAAAAAACATAGAATCTCTCACATTTGACCAGGGGACCTTTGACATTTTTGATTGAAATGACTAAAAGGATGAATAAATTATATAAAATAACTGAAGTTTAATTTTTTGATTATCGATTAATCGCCTAATAGTTGCAGCTCTCCATTGGTATATTGTACCCTTTAAAGGTCCAACATTAAACACTGTATTTCAAAATGCACAATTATGCTTATAATATTGTACACTGCACTACTTTACACATAGGTCTGTAACAGCAAAACTGTAAGCCCCTAGAGGATATTATTATCATATCTGAGGAGATAAAGTATAAAGTAAAGTATAGTTAACAAAAAATTGAGAACCACTCTATAAATCCAGGAAGGATTATTAGGGTTTTCCCATAAACCTCCTCTTGTTTAATCAATTCGTTACAAATAGGGGAATTCATCACTATGACATATCCATCTTGCTTAATTCACCCAAATGAAATATAAAAGCACTTCATGAAATCTAATACGTAACCTACAAATAAGTCTGGAAGTTATAGCAGCGTTACATTTTATATAAGATCGACCTGTTGCGCTGTTGTCGTAAAAAAAAAAACAAAAGCGAAGAAGACATGTTTTAGTGAAGGAAATAACACTTACCTGATGCTCCCAGTATAATAACCAGCCGGTAAAAGTTCATTATAGAGTCCGTTTTATAGTAAAGCGCAGTTTATCTGCATGTTGGTGGTTCTCTTGTCCGCTAACTGCTGCTGCTGCTGCTAACTGCACAAACAGACTGCGACTAACGGGACTGTACCACTTCACACAGAGGTGAGTCCCGGCACGAAAACTGCTCTGAAACCTCTGAAACACCGACTACTCCTCTGCTACTGTCTCCATAAAACATACAGTTAAAGTTGTTGTTTCATTAGTTTATGTCCTGGAGTCTAATAATAATTTTCTGCAGTGGGTGTAGCAGCAGTGGCTACCGGGACATAGTGGAGAGGTCTGCCCGGTGTGGAGGAAGGAGAGGGGGGGCAGCTCGGTGGTAAAACCAGGTCAGACTTGACTTTGAGTTTTGAGGAATTTCACTGAACACAACAGACCAACTTTTGACCCCCTTTCTTTATACGATGTTCATATCAAAACAATGCAGTTCTTACATTCCAGGGGAAATCATTTATCACACAAAAACACGAATAAAAAGTTGCACAGATGTTACAAATGATCACTTTAAGTAAAAAAAAAAAAATCAATCATATACTTTCACCCCAAATTAAAGAAATGCCAAAGCAAAAATACATTAACATATACAAACAGGTTTTCCCACACACATTAAAAATAAGTTTTAAACTAGATGTAAATCTGGTTAAGGTGCAGCTGAGGCACTGTTAGTTTTAGCAACAAATTACAGGTTAAATATACAAATTATATAGTGGAATTTCAAAAGAATATAACTGTGTCCAAATTACCAAATTACTGCAGTAGACAGCTGGCCTGAATATGTGAGCTTTAAATGTATTAATGATCGGAGTGTGTTTCATGACCAGCTTACATTTATTAAGATTCAGGTAAAGGCAAGTTTTCATGTTAAAACAATATCAGTGCTAAGAGGGATTTAAAAAGATTTTAGCTGATTTTATCATGCAGGTAACATTATGTTATTTACATCAAATACAAATGAATCAGAAAGCTTACATATTCTGATTTCAACCTGACAAAACTATTGGTATAGATTTTAATTATTATTATTTATTTTAATGGTCTCCATGGTAGATATTTGAAAATGTCCCATCAAAAGTTGGAGCATCCAGAGTTATCAGTATGGTCTAAAGTTCTGCTCTGAATGGTGAGAACTGATCAAACAGTCCTAGTTTATGCACAGAACATTAATATACATTGATGTTGAGAGGAAGTTCTTCAGTCTGTTAATACTTTGACCATAGAATATAACTGATTACAATTAACTGTCCATTCATCAGGACATCTCAAACACAGTTTTTAATAAACATTTTAGCCACCTAAGGATTTTCAGGTAACCATAGAATGTACACTATGTTAATATATCAACATCAACTTTTTTTTATAAAGCACACTTAAAACAACCAAGGTTGGTGCTTGATAGGGTAAACATACAACAATAAAACAGTAATTACAAAGTAAATTTACAGCAATAAAACATTAATTAGAATTTATAGTACTTTATATATTTATTATATCATAGACTATATGATATATAATGATAATAAAATTGCCTAGGATAATAACTGCCTTAACTCGAAGGAAATGCCAAAGAAAAGAGATGTGATTTTAACAATGATTTAAAGCATTTGAGAGTTGGGGCAGTTCTGATGGGGAATGGCAAGTTGTTCCACAGGTTAGGGGCAGCTACACCAAAGGCTGTTACCAGTTTACTGGTGAAATTTATCTACAACTACAAACATTAAAAATGGATGACAATTTAAACACAGGCAGAGTGAGTAGTTACTAATTTGACTTGGTTTGGTTGAAGCCTATTTAGTGTTGCAGGAAGGTTGCCTGGTGTATTTCTCAACTCCTTTTCAGACCAGCATTAATTACCACAGTTTCAGACAAAAAATCACTTTAATTGAATCATTGGCATTAGTGGATTCACTTAGTGGAGCGAAATAAGCCAGCTAGATCAACTGCAGTACTTTAGTAGACAGTCACACCACTAGTTCTCAAACAGTGGCCTTTATTGACCTCAGCAGGAGGGAGAACCAGACCTTTATGTGGGACAGGCTTATATTAGAGACAAGACTTCATTTCTAATTTTCCATGTTCCCCATGTTACTGTTTAAATACCTTTAATATCTTTTAGGGCATTTTCAAGGATACACAAATTAATTTTGCTGTGTCTCTTTATAACGAGACCAGACACTAAGCCAATCCAAAAACCCAGTACAATAACTTTAAGTGCATGAAAAAAATGAAAACAAAAAGATTTTTAGGAAACATTCAGTAACACAAGGTTATTCATATCAGTTTCTGTATTCATCGTCTGTGTAATTGAGGCGATCACGGCTGCCACCATAGTTATTACTGAGTTCAGAAGATTATCACGACTGTTGCGTTAGCGATTGCTGTGGTCTTCAAGGCGATCACGACTGCCACCGTAGCGTTCGCGTTGCTCATCAAGCCTGTCACAACTGCCACCGTAGCGTCCGCGTTGCTCGTCAAGCCTGTCACGACTGCCACCGTAGCGTCCGCGTTGCTCGTCAAGGCGATCACGACTGCCACCGTAGCGTTGGCATTGCTCATCAAGCCTGTCACGACTGCCGCCATAACGGTCACGTTGATCGTCAAGCCTATCACGACTGTCGCCGTAACGGTCACGTTGATCGTCAAGCCTATCACGACTGCCTCCATAACGGTCACGTTGATCGTCAAGCCTATCACGACTGCCTCCATAACGGTCACGTTGATCGTCAAGGCGATCACGACTGCCACCATAACGGTCACATTTATCGTCAAGGCGATCACGACTGCCGCCATAACGGTCACGTTTATCGTCTAGGCGATCACGACTGCCGCCATAACGGTCACGTTGATCATCAAGACGATCACGGCTTCCACGACGGAGATCACGCTGGTCGTCCTGGTCATGTTGAGACTCAATATCACTGTCCTTACCATCATACTTTTCTTTACCACTAATATAACTGTGTTGGTCCTCCTCAAACTTATGTCCAGCTGTTATACTGGAGCTGTTTTGAGGAACAATATTTTTCTCTTCATGCTGGTCGAACTGCTTTGTCTTGCTATTTGACTTGTCGTCCCAGTACTGCTCAGCTTCAGGAGCATTGTCGTCATAAAACTCCACTTCTCCGGGGGAACTAAAAGACAAACAGGAACAAAATAAACACAAGAAAGAGAAAACAGTTAGCCTGGGAGGTAGGATGAATTAATTAAAGCACCTGTAAACACCACTTAGTGTTAATAACAAACAATACATGAACTTAAATGTTGGCGGTAGTTTACAATGGCAGAGCCACACAGGTCATACCATACATACCCTTCAGCATACTTTTCCTTTTTGTCCTTTTTACAGCAGCAACAGAAGATGAGAATCCCCAGGACTACAACACCTGCGAGGACTCCTCCTATTATAGCTGCAGTAGACCCAACGTTCATGCTGCCTGGGGATAAAAGAGATAAGGGGTTTTCACACTACACTTGATCCCTTTTCGGACAGAGTTTATGGCTTTGTTAGCCATTTTTAACTGTTTTTCATAAGCAAATTTGTTTTGAGGGAGAAAGATCACACTTATTTCTAACATGAATTATAATGAGTAAACTAAATTTAAATCAAGATCTTTAAGGTTAAGGTTAAAGATCTTGACAATGTTACATAATAAAATTGTCAATACTGAGGAATAATATGAAATGGGATAGAAAATTCCATAAAACTTATCTAGGGGGCAGTGGCAAACCAACCTCAACATAGTACCTCAATGGTGAATGTGTTAGCAAACTGTTTTAACAGACTACGCCGGTAGGGGCGCCTTTCCACTCTTGCATGGGACATATGCCGTTCTGACATTGTCCTCACTGGAAAAATAACAATATTGGTCATTTGTGCAGCACGCTATTAAAACCCATATTTACATTTATTGTGGCAGCGACCTCTAGTGGTCGTGTAAGGAGGTCGTATGGGTCAAACCGTGGACTTCAGGAGATCAGGTTTCAGTCCCATTTGAAACCAAGTAAATGTTGAGATTTTTAAGTTTCAACTTAAATACCGGTTCAAACTTCCATCCCATGACTTACGTTATTTACTTACTTTAACCCAAACCACAATGTTTTCCTTAACCTAACCAAGTAGTTTTTGTTGACCAAACTTAACCAAACTGCTACAATTTCAATGTTTAAGGTCACATGACTTACATAAAGTGGTTAACGCTGATATGTGTCATTTTGGGAGGCACTGACAAACGACCTATGTTGCTGATTAGGTTGAAGGACTTGTTGGCCATTTTCATTACCAGGCAGATTAAGCACTCAAAGTTCTTAGTCATTTTTTTTTAACAATGGGTTCTAGCTATCTAATTATTGAAAGCTCCATGAATAGGTTGAAACGCTGTGTCCGACTGACTATAAAGGGGATGTTCTAGTCCTATATTGGTGCTTTTTCTAATCTAATTTATGATCCCACAAAATTATGTAGTTAGCTAATGATATGTTGCTTGGCTTTGGAAGTAGCGCTATATTAGCATCACTACTGTAGCTAGTAAGCTAGTTAACTGGACACACTAACTTGCCTCAACAAACACACAGTTTAATCAATTCTTTAGACTTTTACTGTTGTATTTTTGGTTTGGATAAGCAAAAAACAAAAACAGATACCAAGAATAATCCTTACTACAGCTCCATCTATACTGCTTTAACATGTGGAGAAAGCAAAGCTTGACAGACCTGACCTGCTTAGTTGCAGTTACTAAGCCATGACAACTCCTGTTTGGGGAGGTGTTTAGTAAATAGGTAATTGACCATTAACATATCCAGCAGACACAGAGCAAAATTAGCACTGTGTGTCTTTCCACCTGTCTCCTTTAAGCTCTGTTTTGGTCTCCACCAACTTCTTAGAAAAACATCTGGCATTTGGAAACAAGAGAGTGGAATTTGCCACATCAACTAAAGGTGACTAAAAAGCTCAGAGTATCGGAGGTGAAATGGAGTATTGTGTGGCAATTCTCTGTGGTTTAATCATGAACAGGTAAGAAGGTAAATCCTTTTACAACACTTACCAGGCATCACGGCTAAGGTAATGTTACAGCTGGCAGAACCAATTCGATTTGTTGATGTGCAAATGTAGAACCCAGACATTTCTCTTGAAATATTGAAGAGAGATAGAGCTCCATCCGCTGCAACACAATGACATAAATGAGGATAAACAATGCTTAGATGATGGGCTGCTTTGCCATTCTTTACATTGACACTGATGATGAGAAACAAACTGTCCGTAGCCTGCCAAAGATGTGTGCTTCAAAGTAACACATGGAATGAAATGCATACTTTCGGTTGTCTTAGGTGGAAATGTTCTGGGAGTATTGTCCACACTGTAGCTCCTCCATTCAGACACAGGTTTTGGGGATCCCTCCTCAGACAGGCAGGTGAGGGTGATGTTTTGAAAGTACTCTGCTTTTCCCTGAATCTTGCAAATTGGCGTAGAGGGAGCCACTTAAAGAAAACAAATACTTTAACATGGAAATTTAACGTCACTTTATCACAAGACCACTACATTAAATACAGAATTGATTTTACATCTTCATGTAGACACAACATATAAATATAATAGACAGATAACTAGACTTGCATGTCAGTGGTTAATTCTCACCCAGGACCAAAAGGGAAGTGGTGGCAGCTGTTGTTCCCTCATCATCATTGGGGACCTTAACACTGCATCGGTAACGGCGGCTGTCCTGTACGGTCACCTTTGTTAAGCGGAGTGTGCTCACTTTTCTGACGATGTCAACCTCCATAAAGGCTCTGCCTTCATAAGCAGGTGCAATGTCAACCGGATTGTTTAAAAAGTAGGTGGCAACGGATTTCTAAAAAAATAAACACAAACATATTTTACAGAGATCTCTGCTCCACATGATATAATATTAAAATATCATGATAATGCTGGCTCAGTATTCAGCTGTATCATAATAAATGTGGTGGCGTAGTTCACCATGACATTATGTAAAGTTAAAGTATAGAGGGTATTGTATGCTGTTCAGTATGGAACTCCAAATAGTTCAATGTTCAATGTTCATTGTTATTAAAATAATAAAAAACATTGTCAAATTAATAATGATATGAATAAATTGTGTAAAATAAATTAATTTGTCAAGAATTTGTGAAATAATTGTACTTAATATGAAATGTTATTTCTTCATTCATTTCCAAAATAACAGCACTTTTACATTTTTATAGTTCAAAATTACTTTGAGGTTGTTGCTCTAGCTAACAGGAACTAACAGGCTAATTCTGGCAATAGTTGTTGAGCTATCTAAGAGAGGCAGGTGGTATATGATTGGCTAAAAGGTAATTACCCCTGTCATGAAAAGTGACATTTATAAAAATAAAATGTACCATTATGAAAAGTGAAATAAATAGTGTCATGAAATACAAGTTTCATCGGGATAAATGCCATTATGAAATAATAGCAGACTTCTGAAAAAGGATATTTTGAAATAAAAATGACATGAAATTCCTGTAAAACTCGGTAATAATAGGAATAATTTCAACAAATGATTAAACAGCATTTTATAATAATGAATTCAGTTTAAATATTTTCTTAAAGTATTTCACAAATTCTTTAATTTATACATTTTCCTCAGTTTATTCATGGGATTAATCATTTAATAATTATTCCTTTATTTAAGATTGATAACTTTGGAGTGTGATTGTACACAAAGTAAAGACCTGTGGTGCAAATGTTTGATTTTGGGCTGTATAAATAAAATGTTATCAATAGATTACACCATCAACAGAAAAATAGTCTGCTACTATTTTAATAATTGTCAAAGAAAAAGTAATTTTTCAAATGAAAATGCCAAACTTTCCCCACTTTCACCCTGTCAATTGTAAAGATACACTGCTTTTAAACATCCTATATGATAGTAAATTGAATATCTTAAGTTTATGGCCCGTCATTTAGTAAGCAGTTTGATGACTTCACTTTAGACTTGCAACTTGTCAAAAAATACTAAAACTATTTTTAAAAACATTTTACTAATAAAGAAAATAATCTGGATATTAATCAATAATGTTGATAATCTTTAGTTGCACTGTATCAACTAAAGATTATTACACACATTCTTCATTTTCATTTTCATCTGATAGGCCCTGTGTGCATGGTGGGTTATGAGCAGGAAGCCATCTTGACTGACTCACTTAATCATTGTCCACTGGACAAAGGTCAAAACCACTACATAGGGAGGAACTTGTATGGTGTAAATTTGGAACTTATCAAGTATCACATTCAGTAAAAGCATAGGACACCTCCTTACAGAAACTGTTACTCACTACAGTGAGTCATTCATTTTAAGATATGACAATGGCGCAGTCTTGAAATGAATATAATCTATATTGTTATAAACATCAGGATATAATTTTCCCAGTGTGGGTCAATGTAACACCACAGTAATGGGTTAATTTTACCCAGTACCAATGGGTTGTTTTGACCCAGTGCTCATGGAACAAACATGTTGTGTTGGGTGTTTTTTTAGCGACAGGTAAAGTTAACCCATTATTGTGTCTGTGCTGCATTGGCCCACATAGGGTAAATTTTTAACACAGTGATTTTTTCTGTGTAATTATAAGATTGAAGATGTTAATAAATTGGAAGCTACACATAATAGAAATATGAATGGAAATGTTACTGAAGGGATATTAAATGGGTACTCCTAAAATAAAGTTGGGGGACAGATTTAAAATAATCAAATCATCAGAGAGCTCCAAAAATGCTGGATCATACACTTCCTCAAATCTTTTGTTTGTTAAAACAAAAGATCTGCATTTGAGCTGCTTTTGACCTCCCTTTCAGGTAAGCACCCACATGTCACACCCCATGACACTCAAGTTTGTTCTCCAAATATGGAGGAGTTGACTTTTTTGCACAGTATGCTGTATTAAGAAGATGTTTTAACCACACATTGTGCATGCAGCTATAGTTAAAGCTCTCACAATTGCATCATTGATGTTGTAAGGGTAAGCTTCCCATGTGAGGACGAGTGCAGTGAAGTCTGGTCTGGCTGGGACGAAGGAACATGTCAAGGTAATGTCACCCCCGCTTGCAACCTCATATTCTCTCTCTGGAATAGAAACCTGCATACTCCAGCAGCAGGGAAGTGCTAAAATAAAAAAGAAATACATAATAACAGATATCAATCTCTTTCCCGGTCATAGTCAATTATTTGGTGTTTTTCCAAAAGTATTAACATCAACTTATGTAATGTGGTATTGGGAGACATAGTAAAACTGATTAACAGATTAAATATGACCAACTTCATCTACAAAATGTTTGTACAACTATATATAATATACAATATGTTTCTTTTAAGGCAAACTGAGTAAACGTTTTCACCTACAGGTCTTTTATGAGTAAAACATAATCCTACTTCCGGTTGAGTAGCAAGAAGTTGGATTAATGATTAACACTGGTGATTATACCACAAAGGTGTGGTAGTACTTTGTAGAAAATAGAAGAAATACAAGCATAAAGCTTACCTGTGAATATCAGAAATATTTTTTGCCATCCAAGCCTCCTGTGTTTTGTCATTGCTAAAAGAGGATAAAAATGTCCAGCCTTTAAAATATCTGAAATTGATGCTCTCAGCCCAAGAGCGAGTGCCCGCCTAACCTTCACAGTGAACAACCAGGTATGGAGAAGTTGACTCTTCCAGGTAGTAAGTCAACAGCAATAGGTCACATGTCACCTGAGGGCCAATCATTGATCAGTTTTCTCTTTGATTAAAGAAATAAATGCGATGGGCGAGGGTGGCGGGGCTGAACAAGAAGAATGGCTTAAATAATAAAATATAACATATAAAGACGGAAAACAGACTCTTCATTGAAAGACAGATAACACCTATCTGAAAAATATAATTTAACTGATCAAAGTCAGTAACTAAATTTGATTCTCTCTTTAGCTCAACAGTTTCACCTCAACACCTTCCCAGAAAAATATACTCACCGGCCACTTTATTAGGTACACCTTGCTAGAACTGGGTTGGACCCCCTTTTGCCTTCTGATCTGCCTTAATTTTTCGTGGCATACTTTCAACAAGGTGTTAAAACAACAACATTCCTCAGAGACTTTGGTCCATATTGACATGATAGCATCACACAGTTGCTGCAGATTTGTTGGCTGCACATCTATGATGCGAATCTCCCGTTCCACCACATCCCAAAGGTGCTCTATTGGATTGAGATCTGGTGACTGTGAAGGCCACTGGAATACGGTGAACTTAGTACTAAGGGACCTAAATTGTGCCAAGAAAATATCCCCCACACCATTACACCACCACCAGACTGAACCATTGATACAAGGCAGGATGGATCCATGCTTTCATGTTGTTTGCGCCAAATTCTACCATCTGAATGTCACCGCTGAAATCGTGACTCCTTAGGCCAGGTAACGTTTTTCCAATCATTTTTTGTCTAATTTTGGTGAACCTGTGGGAATTGTAGCCTCAGTTTCCTGTTCCTGTGAGAGGAGTGGCACCCGGTGTGGTATTCTGCTGCTGTAGCCCATCTGCTTATTGAGTTATTTGAGTTACTCTTGCCTTTCTGTTAACTCTTCAGTCTGCCCATTCTCCTCTGACCTGTGACTGTCGTGATTTGGCTTGCTGCCTCCCCTGTCCTAGTGTGTTCTGTCAGTTTTCCCTGTCCCTTGTGTTTTTGTTTTGTCATCTATCTGTCCTGTGTTATGGGGGCATGATGCTCTTGGTTCTCTCTCTCCTCATTAGGACACCTGTGGCTTCCTACTCACTTGAAGCAGATTCTGCAATGACCTCTACTGTTTTAAACCCTGGCTTTTCAACCAGTCTCTGCCAGATCGTCCATTCACCCAAGTGGTAACACTTGCTATGGCCAGCTTTACTCTGCTTTTGAATCTCTTGTTTTGATCCTTGTCTGACTTTGCATGTTTTTGCTCCTGCTCCAGATACCCAATTCAGTTCTGAAAGCCCAGCCTGGCCTGAGCCGAATAATTTTTTGGACCAGCCTCTTGCCTGTCTGCCCGTATTCAGCCCCAGTCTCACAGAGGATTTAAAAGCACCTTTCTTACCTATTGTTCAATAAAACCTCTGTACCTGTTTCTAACCGTGCCTCCGTGTCTGCTCCTAGACAGCCCAGCCTAACACTGACCTCAACAATGCACTTTTGTCCACACAACTGCCGCTCACTGGATCTTTTCTCTTTTTCGGACCATTTTCTGTAAACCCTAGAGATGGTTGTGCGTGAAAATCCCAGTAGATCAGCAGTTTCTGAAATACTCAGACCAGCCTGTCTAGCACCAACAACCATGCCATGTTCAGAGTCATTTAAATCCCCTTTTTCTTCATTCTGGTGCTCGGTTTAAACTTCAGCAAGTTGTCTTGACCACGTCTGCATGCCTAATTGTATTGAGTTGGTGCCATGTTATTGACTGATTAGCTATTTGTGTTAACAAGCAATTTAACAGGTGTACCTAATAAAGTGGCTGGTGAGTGTATATCCTGCTGTATATTTTAAATTGACATCTGATGTTGTACTCAGTTTGACCTGCAGGCTGCAGTATTGGACTGACAGGAAAGCAGCAAGTGTTCAATACATCATCGTGTATCACTAATCTGTAAATCTCTCATGTCACAAACAATACAAAAAGAGCAAATCTAATCAATAATGACCTTTGATTCTGTTGCTTTAACCTGCTATGGTATATCAGTTTGAACCATTACAGCCAGATGAAAGGCAGAAGTTGTGACTAGAAACCAGACCTCTTAACTGATGCTTTGTTTATAAAATATGATAATTTTATAAGACTTGCAGTGTATTGGGAGATAGATGACATTGGTAACAAGATAGTGCCTTTATTCAGTGGCTTTGGGGGTATGAGGTTCCAGATTTAGGCTTGACTCCGGACAGTGTCACAGTCCTACGTTGACCGACAGCTTGTCAACTGTGGTAAAGTATTCAGTCTGTCATTATGTTAAGCCTATGACAGCCTATGAAAGAGCGAGAGGAATCTTCTACATGTCTACATGTGCAAAAGGGACATACTACCCACTCCATAAACTGAATAGATAAATCAAAAGGTGTTTTCATAAAAAGCTAAGCAAAAGACAATAATGACTTTCTCCACACTAATTATATTGTTTCTTTTAAACAGTGATGGAAGAAATATTACGTTTTTTTACTTGCATAAAAGTACCAATATAAAATACGCCATTACAGGTGAAAGTCCTGTGTTCAAATGTACAGAAATATAAGCAAATTATTTAAAGTGTCAAAAGTAAAAATACTGGTTGTGCAGACAAATGGCCCCTATGACTGATATATTATTATATATGAAAGTATTACATTGTTAATACTGATGCATCAATGTGTAAGTGTTAACTGTCACCTTTAGTCCAGTGTTTCCCAACCTAAGGGTCTGGCCCACTCGAAAGGGTCATGAGATAAATCTGAGTGAACCTGAGATGATTAATGGGGTTGAAAAGAAGACAAAGTTCTGTTTCATAACTCTGCTCATTCAAAAATAAAAAGCTGCTTAGGCCATCGCCATCTTGGCAGTCCCTGACTCTGGCTAATCCAGAAAAATGGGGTGAGCAAAGAGCTGGAGCTGAGGCGGGCCGAATTAAGCCTGGTTGCTGAACCACCTGAGAGGGAACCCTCCTGTCACTCAAAGCGACCATGTCCAATTATGCATAAGCCTTAATATAATTTAAAAAGGTAAGTAAAGAAAAAGAAGAAGAGTAAGAAAAGCAACTAGTAATTATAGCTATAGCTATGAGATGAATATAGTGGAATCAAAAATGTGAAAGATTTCCCTGTATTCCCTTCTCAACTGTAGTGGAATCGAAGTAAAAGTTGCATAAAATTAATCTAGTCAAGTTAAGTACAAGTACATTAAAAAGGTAAAGCATAGTACTTGAGTAACTGGTTCAAAATGCTGCCGCTTGTCTCCTCACTGGAACTCGTAAGCGTGACCACATCACCCCAGTTCTTGCCTCCCTTCACTGGCTCCCAGTTCATTTTAGGATTTATTTTAAGATTCTATCGTTTGTTCTTAAAATTCTCCATGGACTGACTCCAGCCTATATTGGTGATCTATTGAAGCCTTCAAGGTCATTAAGGTCCGCAAACCAGTCACTTCTTGCTGTCCCCAAACATGGCTCAAGAACAGGGGGGATCGAGCTTTCTCAGCCCCCGAGACTGTGTGAATGAACTTTGTGTCAGACTGGCCCCCCAGCCTTCCAGTTTTTAAATCGTGGCATAAAACTCACTTTTACTCTTTGGCTTTTAATCTGGGATGAGTGCATGTTTCATGTTTTTATAGGTTTGTATTGATTCATGTCAATGTAAAGCACTTTGGTCAACCTGGTTGTTTTTAAATGTGCTTTATAAATAAAGTTAGATAGGATTGAGTAAATGTTACTTTCCACCACTTTGACTCAATACATACAATGAGGTATATGTTCATGTGAACTGAATAAAGTATGAAAACATAATCAAAAAATTAGCATCATCATAAACAACTCTAGGCATTATTCTCTAAGCCTCCTGGGTGATTATTGTTTTTGGATGTTAATAAATGAGAAGCCACGTACATAACCAATCCAAAAGCAACCACTTACTGGTGTGGTCAATTTAAAGAATAAAGTTTACTGACAAGTTTGCACATACAAGGCATACATAGCAAAAGATATTAAAAAATAAAAAGCAAGCACTGCAAAAGTAAAGAAACAGAAATATAAAACAGAAAAATGTAATGACAAATCAAACATCATACAAAATATGTACAATGTACTGTATCTGTTTTTATGAAAGAGCTTTACAGACAGCAGGAATATGCAAAATATTGTCCAAAGAATTTGCAAAAATTCATAGTGTGAAGTATGAGGAATATGTGTAATGTACAGAGATAATAATTCAAACGATGTATGTTAATGTAATAATGCATTGAGACAGATGTGAAGTCTATACGTTAATGTAATGTGTGGAGCCTTGGCCTGCTGCAGACAGGAAGAAACTCAATATGTACCATGTAATGAGTATTAAAACAATATTGTAATTGAGACAGGGCCACATAGATAAAAATGCATCGCCCGCTTCAGTTGCTGTAGTACGTTCGTGGTGCAAAACTGCAATTAATCAAGTTACCACAACCAAGTGAAATTCGGTGAGCGTGGGACTCACTGCCCCGTTAGCTAGTTGGTAATCAAGACTTGTGGATAAGGGTAAAACATGCAAAACTACTGGTACGATCCTTTACAAATGCATGTTTCAAGTGTTAACTAATCTGCACACTGAGTGAGCGAATCATGGAAGGTGATGTCATCTATTGGGTGATACTGGTATATTAATATCAGATCAATGTGCAAAATGCAGGAAGTGGCTAGGATTAACGGAAATGTGTCCCCACTTCACATCCCTACATATAAGAGAAGTGAAATTTCCTTTCTCTGGTCATGGCAAGGTCATCAACAAATCTGACAATTTCTCTTTCTTTTTTGTTTATTTTTAGGAGGGATGTTAAAATATATTAGGATACATGGTATCTGGACATCTAGGAGACTGAACCAAGCAAATACTTTATCAGTAAGAAGTCGGTGATAAATAAAGTACCAGAGATGACAAACTCCAACTACATAAAATAAAAAGTCATTTTCATCAGGGGATAACACAAAATGTAATGAACAAGACACAGAGGACAACAGCACGCTACTATAACATTATTCTAATGCTTCTTCATGCTTTGTACTGTAGGCTATATGATTTTAAAAATGTTCTGGAGATAAAACGTATTTTAATCAAATCAAAATGTCAAACCAAAAATGGGGAACATTTTGCTGCACTTAGATTTCCAGCCAGATCTAAAACTCCAGTCAGTTTTTTATGCATGTTGAGTAATACTGCAGTATTTTTGGGTACAATAATCTTACTCATAACTCCGCCGT